GGGCGCAGTGAATGTCATTTGAATGGAGTTATTTTATTTGTTTGTGGGTGTATATGTGTGTGTGTTGGGGTTATGGCTTTGGACTGATGTTTACTTTCATATCCTTGGGTCCGATTTTAATGCATTATTCAACACATGTTATAAAAATTTCTTCTCTGAAAGCAGGATGGAGCGTTTTCATTATTATGCCATTGTGTATTCACATGCATATAACAAGGCTCTTTTTACTGCAGTAAAACACAATAAACTGTCCTCCATCCTTCAACATTTAGACATGGCTGTTATATTTTCAACAGCAGGACTCTTTAACTGTTTTTGGGTTTTTTTTTTAACGTTATAGAGCCCAAGGTGGTAAACAACAGGATCACCATATCATCTTGGTGTTGCATCACACTGTCATAAATTCATTTTATACAGCCAGTTATTAGCTTGACTAGCAAAACACATATTAACCCTGTGAACTGCAAAAGAAGTTGTGACATTTTTTACTCACTGTGGGCTCGTTTTTCACTCCTGCACCTCTGTGGAAGCAGCACAACCACGGCTAGAAGTACACAGAGCAGTATAACAAAAGTTATAATGCCATAAATCATAATGGAAGAAAAAATGAAAGTTGAATTTCTTTGATTATTTATTTTACAAAAATGAAAAAAACCCAGGCGTCATTTTTTCCAAGTGTAGACAGGTGTTACCAATGCTAGAATGACAAAAGTGACTCTACATGCTATACATATTTTATATCTTACAGCTTGAATTTGTTTCCACACTTTTTTTGTTTGTTTTTTTTACAGAATCTGGTCAGAGCAGGTGATTTTACTGAATTATCACAGTTTTAAGAGTTCCGACTGAGTGGCACATCACAGATAATTAGTTCAAGGACAGTCGGAGAGTTGAAAACCCGTTCAGAGGATTAATATCAAATTCTTTCGCATCTATTGCTCATCTCTTGCATATCTGTCTTGAAAGAGGCATCCCTCTTATGATGCTCCTCCTGAAGCTTCTCCCCCTTAAACAGTCCTTTTGAGGGACTTTTTGTTCCTTTTCACAGGATTCACGGTGGCATCTGCTGAACATGTTGTAAACCTCCTCAGGCAAATGTATGATTTGTGATTATAGGCTGTATAAATAAATCAGACTTAGCATGGCTGTATTTTGTAAATATACATTCCCCAACACATGGCTGCACGGTCACGCGGTAACAAACACAATGACACATCTGAGAGTTTAATTAGATCTGTTGAGCATCAAAGTTAAACAGAGAGGATAAAGATCTCTTTCTAATTCTGCTCCTTAGGTCATCCTTACATTTTGATTTTCTCTTTTTATTTGTTGTTACAGCTTTTCTCAGTCGCTTTGGTACGTTTCTCAGATCAGAACTGAAATTCTCAAAACTACTTGTTCAATCTTCACATCATTGTGTCACTTGTGCACATAAAAAAGCACTTTCTCATTTCAAGTTCTAAATGCTTTGGTACATCCATGCAAATGATTATGTACAATTCTCTGCTGTTTCCTACAATATCAATTGCTTATGTCATGTTGATCAGAATGTAATATAATGGGTCTCTGTTGAATAGTCTCACCCCGACAACATTGCGGCATGAGTTCATCACGTAAGTCTTTACATGCAAAATGGTTGAACAAGTTGTCATAATATGTCGAGCATATTTCCATGAGCCTTTTGTTTCTAAACATGTCCTAAATTGGTAAGTTGCTCCCATGTGAATCTTGACTTTCTCTAATGAAGGGAAATGTGTGCAGCTTTACATAGATCAACCAATGATCAACCAGTTTTCTGAAATAGCTCAAAGGTTCATCTAATGAACCATCAACTGGAAAGTATATAGTACAGTTTTTCTCAGTTGCTTTGGTTCATTTCTCGAATCATTCTCGACATTTGCATAACAGTAAGTGCATTTCTCAAAATAATTCGTACAAATAGCAAAACACCATGGATTAGCTGCAAACGGCAGTGACTTGCTCAACATCCTTAGCTCATCTCCATCCATCCATCATCTGTACACCATTTAGTCCTCACTAGGGTCGTGGGGGGGCTGGAGTCTATCCCAGTCGACTTAGGGCGAAGGCAGGGGACACCCTGGACAGGTCACCAGTCTATCACAGGGCCACACTTAGAGACAGACAATCAAACACACTCACTGTCATTCCTACAGCACTGCATGTACATTTTTCCCTACGGAAATTGTCCTATGTTCACATTTCTACTTTTGTTCTTTTGTTTTTTTTTTCTTTGTGCTACGCAGTGCTGTCTTTTCTGTATCACAATGACATGGTCTGTCAAAAAATTACAGTACAAACAGTGAAAGCGTCATAAATGTGAATCTTGTCCAGTCTCTTGCAATCAATCTCCCACATACACTAAGGTGTAACTCACAATTTACAATAATTGTCATCAAAACTTTAGCCATAGTTTACATCGGAACATCCCTCCAGAGTACACTGTTGTATTGACAACATGACTAAACAACTTGACTGTATTATCCGTACACATTGACACCGGGACTTGTCATTCTGATGGCACTGACATGTTCATTGACACAGAGATTTAGTTTTGAAAGATGAACTAAGGATTTTGAGCAAGTCACTGCCTTTTTCAGGTGTTTTGCCATTCATACAAATTGTTTTGAGAATGTCGAGGATGATTCGAGAAATGTACCAAAACAACTGAGGAAACCTGTAGTCAAATAAGTTGCCACCTCTTTGTCTAGGTCAGCAGTTTCCTCAACCCTAAATTTCAAAAAATGCCCTACAACTCCAGGATAGGAGGGAACCTTTTTGTTTTGTGACCTTCTAAACTGAAGTCATAGCCAGCTGTCATTCCGCATTACAAGCGATGTCCTTAATGTGAATGTGGGTTTTGATCAATAAACGGACCATAAAATTCTTCTCAGATTGTTTCGTTTGAATGCTTTCCTAAAGGCCAGAAGAGACTTTTTCATCCCTTTAATCAACTTGTGACCCCTTGGTTTTATGGAGGTTTTATATAGTACCTTTTTATTTAAAGAGCCCGGCTCTACAGTAAAAATTATTATATAAAGAATCGCTGTCTGGACACGCATACAAGGGCATCGTTTGATGTCAGCTCACTCAGTGGGATATCTTTATTACGTGCGGTATATACTGACCACCTTGCTGTAAGCGGCATATGCAGTTGCTGTGGATTCCTTCAGAGACCTTGAATGAGGTTTTAGCTTTAAACCCAGTAATTATCTCCTTAGCCCTCTGCATCGACACTAATCCTCAGAGAGTACAGGGAGAAACGCTTACCAGACAAGCCTCATTAAATATTTAGTGTGTTTGGCCACCATCAACAACTCACACAACAAACACCCACAGATCGTTTGCCTTTTCTTTCCCCTCCATTCATGCCATGTGTTGCTTCTCTGTCGCCATAGGCATCGGTGAGACGGTGAGGTGGACGTTTCTTTTTTTTTTTTTTGTTATTGGCTGATAATCACAGATTGTGGGCCGGTCTTGTGATGCGTGACAATGTTAAATATTAATGTCTGGAGATGATTACTGCGCTAGATGGAGAGAGGCAGGAAGTGCGGTGGAGGTGACACCCTCATTCATCACAGGGCCCTAACAGAATCTAAATCCTCCCTGTGTTTTTAACCTTGGTACCCCGGGGAAGAGATGCAGAGGGAGCAGTGAGTAGAGGAGGAGATAGAAACGAGGTTGGATAGGGAGAGGCAGGGAGAGATGAAACGGAGATATGGAAGGGGGGGAAAAAAAGAAATAGGGAGACGGAGAGAGAGAGATCTGACACAAAGCGAGTTATGTGTGAAAAACGGGGTGAAAGAAATATAAAGATAGATAGATGGATGCAAAGTGAGACCATGAGAGAGGATAAAAGAAGGCAGCGAGATGGTGAAAAATCGGCCTGCGTACTGTATAATGTATAGAGCTCTTCTCCTCAGCTGACCTGTCAGCCGATCCCATGCGACAGGCTGACGGATGTGCAGAAAGGAACTCTTATCTTATTTTGTCAAGGTCTGGCAGTCACTCAAGTCCTATTCAGCATAAATAAACAAGTGCTGAGGAAAATGGCAGCCATCTCACCTTCAGATGTATCACTTCCAGCACCTCCTTTTTTTTTTTTTTTTTAGCCGGGCACAATGGAGGGCCTGGACTGCTTATTACCCAGTCATATAATCAAATACAGCAGCACAGAAGACGCGGGATATTTTTTGACCACAAGACCAAATTGGCTGAGGGGCTTGGGGAGGATATGTATATGTATGGCACTCCTGGATGACTCTCATATCTTATCGGATATATTGTTAGTGCTTCAGTGCTGCGTTCCTCATTTTTACTGCCCAGCCCCCAAAGCCAGATGCAGATGGGAAGAAGAGTTTTCTTTTCCCTTTCCCTCTATATCTTTGCCTCTTTTCTGCCAGCTTCTCCAGGTCCGTGACATCTCCGCTCCTTCTCTCTCCCCCTCTTTCTCTCCATCCTTTCCCCTTGGTTATAAATTAAGCTTGATCAATGACCTTTTCTGCTAGGCTTGTTTGCCTCTTGCCATGTTCAGCAAGTGGTCTAATGGGAATCTATCCGTAGTCGGTGCGTGCCGTGCGAGGCAAACCAGGCTTGGCTGGTTTGTGAGACGCATTTTTGGACAATGAGTGGCATCGGATCCGGCGGCATACAGTGTAATAAAACAGCCAGAACTGGAATCAAGGGGCTTTCAGGGAGGAACAATGATGAAAGTGTCGAAACGACAGTTTATTTCCTCGTAAAATAAGCCGTTTAATTTCATATGAATCACTTCTGAGAATTTTCAAAAGACATTGTCCTGTCTATTATTATGCTTGGGAAATACAGCAGAAATTTCTGTCTGAGCTTGTCACGCTAATTATTCCTTTAATGATTTGTGATAGTCTCTTCCTGCTCTGGACGTGTCCAATCTACCTGCCTGCAAACGTGCTTGTCATGTAATAAAGCTCTGGGTGAAATGTTTCTTGTCTTTGGGCCTGCAGGAATACCAGTCATGCAACACTCTGCCGTGCCCGGACCTTAAGAAGACTACACCCTGGACTCCCTGGACGCCCGTCAACATCTCCGACAATGGCGGCCACTATGAGCAACGCTTCCGCTACACTTGCAAAGCTCGCATCCCGGATCCGAGCCTGCTGGAAGTGGGGAGACAGAGGATCGAGATGCGCTACTGCTCCAGCGACGGATCCACCGGCTGCTCCACTGATGGTGAGTCAACACAAGAAGAGACAGATGGTCTCTTTCCAGCTACATCAGCCTCCGGATGTTTCTGTTATCCCACCTTAACTGGCTTTCCACGTCTCCTCAGGCTAGTTATTGTCCTCCTCACCCCGAGCCATTCCCTCTTTCTGTCTGTCAGTTCTTCGTCTTTCTTGTCTCCTAAAACTTTTCATCTCTCTCTCTGTCCTGCAAAAGTTAAGGGACGTCTATCTCAGTCAGTTCAGTGTTTATGGTCCCATCCTCCTCGACTTTATCGGTAGATCAAAGCAACCGACATGTTAATGAACTTCCAATCCACAAAGCCGATCAGAAGTTTATAACTAATTTTAGCTCTCCCGCACCATCATTCACGCTCCTACACACACACACAAAAAAACCCCGCAAACAAACATACACAACTTCGTGCACAAAGTTCAATTACAGCCTCGCGAGGAAGCGCAAACACCAGCTCTTTATCCATCATCCCCCAGCTATTCCCTTTAGCCGGAGTCAGTGCACCACACAGTCTCAGTCAGCCACACCCCTGGTGAATTAAACGCTGCGAATGTTTGTACAAACAGGCTGCTAATTGACAAGTTGTTTATGTAAAGTGGAAGTATCCATATTAGAGAGGAGACAGGCGGGATGGCACCACACCACAGCAAAGAGGGCTCAGATACAGATGCAGCAGTTAAAGTTTGTTTATGGTGTTGCTCTGCGCCTCAGAGGGGAAAAGCTGTTTTTTAGGGCTTTGGAGTTAGCGCCGGGGCTAAGCTGCGGTGGCCTCCCATCTTTCTGAGTTTATCTGTGTCTCTGGGTGGTCTGTCGCTACTTCGTTCACACGCCACATGCTGCGGCGAGCCGTGAGGTTAGCCTTAATATACGCTATCGCCGGGATTTTCTTTTGATCTCTCTCATCTTCCCTATTTCTGATTATTATTATCTGTCTATTCTTCAGCGCTGTCACGGGCACAAGTTGTTCTCCTCGCACTTTGAAGCCGGTGCTTAAATGTTCCTGAAGGGTTTTAAACGAGCGCTGACAGGCACAGAGGAAACCTGCAGACTCAAAGCTTTAAGAGGAGTGACAGCCACACATCTAAGATATTAGAGAACAAAGGCTTGAGCTTTAATAGGTCTGTCTTGTTTCTTATTAGTGGGAGGAAGTAACAGACACAACGTGTTTCATTAGAGGTTGTCACCAGAAGCCTGACATCAGATTACCTTCACTGTTAATTACGCCAATTGAAAAGCAAAGGCAGTGAGTTCAGCAGTCACTTTTGGCAACGTGTCAGTCAGCGTTGTAGGATGTAAGCAGCCTATATAGGCTCCAGCAGGCAGATGGTGATGTGCTGGATGAGCTGCGTAGTACAAGCTTTTCAAATCCCTTCAACAAATATGGGGGTATTTTTTCACAAGTCTCTTTCCCAAAACTGTTAAATCAGCTTGTTCAGTGCAAATGGTGTAGCAAGCGTACATTTAGACCCTTTATTTTGAAGCCGAGGTTGTAGTTTCCGTGTTAATAGAGACAGATTTCATTACACTCAGTGCCATAAAATTATCAGCGGCTCTGATTTGTCGTGATACTTGTACATGTTGCAGTTGGTTTAAATTTTGCATTTTAGCTGGATAAGTAATTAACACCACTGCTGCTCTGCATTCCCTCAAAGCGTAGCCTTGTGAATGAAAGAGTGATTTTATGTGGAAAAAAAAAAAACTTAAAAATTCCATTTACTTTCTGCAGATGTTCAGTGAAACAAGATTCTTTTCAACATCAAAACTGGTTTACTCCAAAGATGTGTTTGTACTTTTTATCAAAAGCTCAGCCGTGTACATTTTTGAGGAAAAAAAAAAAACGTCAGCGCCGACTGTGAAACTGTTTCTTCATCCTCAAAACCAGTTTCACTGAGTTGTAGCGTACCAGCTGGATGAAAAAAACAAGACCTATGGAGTAGCGAGTGGCCTCTGTGTGCTACTCTGCTCTGACGCACCTTGATTGTTCATCTCCAGACTTCAATTTGATTCACTTCTCTGAGGGAGTTTTAAGTCATAACTGTCGAAAAAGAGGACGGACTCCGGTGATCCAATTCTTCATTTCAACCATTATCAAACTTGCCATCCATCTGGAGAGCGCTGGTGTGTGTACTTGTGGGTGTGTGTGGGGGCGGGCTGATGTGTGCGATCGCCAGTTTTGTCAGCGGGTAGAAATGTACACCTGTTTGTTTAGGTGTTTCTTCAATGTGCCATCCTCCCACTGTCCATCTCTCATGCATGCTGATCTCCTGGGGGGCGACACTTACGGTAACTTTTCTTCGAGCGAGAAGTCATCATAAGGCGATTACTACCACGGTGGTGGCGTTTATTGATGTCCGCCACTGGGGCAAAGGACACCGAGGTCCCTCTGAGATGATGAGCACCCAACGGGAATGGTGCGTCACTCGATAAAGATTTACTATTTGCATCAGGCGGCTTGCAATCGATCGGAGCATATCTTAGACTTCACCTGCGAGAGTCACTATAAAACAGATCGCAGTTTAAAAATTGTCGGGCAAGTTATGTGAAAATGTAGTCAATAACCCAGTACATATTACACATTTATAAAGTATTTGCATTTCTTTCCTAATTAAAAGTAGCATCGCTGTATATCTAGCTTTGTAACTCAGCCCAGGGCTATCATTATTTCCGCCCGCATGTCGCTTTTCCTCTACTATATGTGTAGATATAGAAAGCAAGTAATTGTAGTTTTACAAGCAGATAGCTCAGGGCTTGAAGGCATTTACTGATCCGCCTCAGTCCTCAAGTAAAGGTTGAATTTAAGAAAGCTGGCAGTGCCTAGCTGGAGGCTGCATGAGAAGTGAAGCCGATGTGGAAGTTTCTTAAACCTGTGCTTTCTCTGCAGGGGGCGACTCCATTGGTTCAAAAAGAAGTCTATAAAAAAAAAAAAATTACCCTACTTCTCACTAGATTTACTTCTTTAGTAAACATTTTCCCCAATGGGTTTTTGGTCTTAACTGCAACCTCAAGTCTTGTTGAAATTCACAGAGAAAAACTAGCGCAGCTGCAGGACCACGCGATCCAAATTATCTTACAATTTTCAGTGTGGTAGGGTTCCTGCTCAGGGATTGTTGGCTACTGTAGCGAAGAAAATGGCGACATGCAAATGGCAGTTAGCGGCCAATGGCAGGCTTATACCTATAACATATTTATCGTACAGGACAAGTTGGTTACATCCGGCTCTCACCGCTCTCCAGTTCTTCCCGCTCATCCAAATATAATCAATTCTGGTTCCAAGAAAGGGCTGTGGGGTGGCGCAGTTGCTTAGCACTGTTGCCTCGCAGCAAGAAGGTCGCCGGTTCGCGTCCCGGTGGGGGCACCGGAATCTTGCTGCGTGGAGTTTGCATGTTCTCCCCGTGCAGCGTGGGTTCTCTCCGGGTTCTCTGGCTTCCTCCCACACAGTCCAAAAACATGTTGAGGTTAATTGGTGATTGTAAATTGTCTGTAGGTGTGAATGTGAGTGTGCTTGGTTGTCTGTCTCTAAGTGTAGCCCTGTGATAGACTGGTGACCTGTCCAGGACGTCCCCTGCCTTCACCCTAAGTCGGCTGGGATAGGCTCCAGTCCCCCTGCGACCCTAGTGAGGATTAAGCGGTGTATAGATAATGGATGGATGGGTTCCAAGAAAACCAGATGGCAGTAACAAAAATGCCCAACTCAAAGACTCAAAAAGTAATTTTACAAATCATTGGATGAGGTTGACTTCTTTTATACCGTCTATGGTACAAACATACAACATACAAAACATATAAAACCCAACACTGTGCTGCAGCAGTCTATCCTCTCAAAACTTTCCGAGTCAGTCAGCAAACAAGTCATCGTCCACACTGGATGCACAGAATTTCAATTTTTAATTCCTTAACACGACTCATTACTGATGATGCAGTGTGCAGGCATTTTCATATGTAAGAAATACAACAAAATAGAAGTAAAATATGTGTACAGATTGCCTATGCAAACTAAAAACGTCCTCCTTTTAGACAGATTAAGCTCCACGACGGCGCTGCTTTCAAGTGAATTTGCAGCTTTTCTACCCTACAGCCAGCAATGTCCTTTTTGTTTTCTCATTTGAAGTCAATGCATGAACTTTGAAAGACTATTTTCTCTCGCTTGCTGTCTCGCTGTCACACTGATGTCGCTTCCCCGCTACTCAATAAAAAAGCCCACTCTGCCATGTTGTCTGAGATCTTCGTCTTCGTCTCCTCCTGCTCGGGCAAAATGTCACCATGTTTGTGGATTTGAGCATCATAGCCATCAGATATACCTGACATTTGACAATTTGGATTATGTTCAGAGATGCAGCAGATGTTATTGACACGCAGCTGGAAGTCTCATCTGTGACGTGCAGATAAGGAGAATTAATCCCCTGTCAATACAGAGGATAGATGGATTTTTGAGGTAGGTTAGCAACTCTCCCCAACCTCTCCCCAACTTTTCTCTTTTTTTTATGTGTCACATTGTCCCTCATATTAAGATCTCTATCTGTCTTTATTATGAGAGATACATCACGAGTATATGATTTAGCCAAGCATTTACAATGAGCTTTTACAGAACATACTGACTGGTTTCATATCAGTGATCATGGCTTAATGATAGCGATGAGTTAATTACTTAAGATCTGTGGTGATTTAAAGACCTCTCTTGTCATGTACACTCAGTGATTAGTCTTGCAGCTGTTGTAGCCGTTTTCCCTCCTTATCGCATCCCACATGCCTGAATACAAAGCCAAACATTTGATCGTTTGCATAATTTTATCTATAGTCATGTGTTCGTACATCCTTGAAACAAAACAGACAATTTAAGCAACTGACAGTCTAAACCGAGGCTTTTCCTTTTTCTCTCCGTCACTTCTCTCTTTTCTCAGTAAGAGAACAGTAGGTCTTCATTTATTATTAATGCATTGATACACATTTAATATTACTTGGTGGTTTACACAAGGCAATTGGTTTTTGCATATTCT